CCCCAAAACCCCAAAACCCCAAAACCCCAAAACCCCGTAATATAATTAAAATATTGGTACTAAGTATAATTATAAAATGGCAAAGAAACAGAAGAAGACAAAGAAAGAAGAACAGGTATTCCCAGTTGTTTTTAGAATGGTGCAGGTTTTATGGAAGGGCTAACTTCTATTGGAAGATTGATGGGTTATTAAGAGATAAATGAGAGGAGTTTGTAAAGCCGTTGGATGGTTTGGGCTTATTTAAGACGGAATTTTTACTAGAGGGTTTCGGAGATGATCATTTTATAGCTTAATGTTACTAATTTATTGGCTAAATATGGGAGAGTAGAGAACTTAAAGAGAAAATTCAGTAAAAATAGAGATTTTTATTGCCTCAATGTTTTTACAAAAATAGATTATAGAGCTAAGATAAAATTTGCATTAGAAATTCTTCGTTCTTGAATCTTAATTTTAGAAATATAATCTTCTAATAGGTTCAATTTAACTTGAAAAGTCCAAGAACAAGAGAAGCATGAAAGAAATTAGGCTATGAATTCTCTGAGCTGAAGTTCAAGCCAAAGGAAGAGTTTGATATAAGCGATCCTGAAATTCTTGAAATTCGGTAATCAAATTTTTATACTTTTCATCCAATATGATTTTATCTTGGCTTAGATTCAAAGCAAATGAGGAAAGAAGAAAGCAAAAGATGTAACTTACAATATTACTAAAATCCCTAACCCATTTAGTTAAAAACGTGCTAGTTGAAAGAAAATCAATCGTCGAATCACAACCGAGTAAGCCCCCTTTGACATATCTAAATCTTTGAGAATGCTTATTATTAAATCTCAAAAGAATGTCTCTCATCGATGCTATAGAAGCATTAAAAGCAGCATCATCAGTTAGTTCCTTATCTTCCAAACAAAGATCTGTAATGGACCCTCAGTGGTCTAAGAAAGTTCTAGAAGAAGACAAGGAAATCAGAAGAGTTAAGGTACATTACCTCCCTTACGGCTAGATGGGACTTGAAATGGCTAAAAGAATCAAAGAAAAAGAAAAAGGTAGTCCCTTAAGTCTTACTTGCTAGAGGAGTATCTTAAGAGAATGAAAGAGAAAGAGGAACAAGATAGAAATGCCTTTGAAAATGATCAAGAATTCAGAAAACAACTTCAGAAAGATGATACTCTGAAGCTTAAATTCCATGAGGAATTAAGAAGGTATTTCCAACCCTCATTTTGTAGAAAAGACTTTGAAAGAACTTTAAAAAAGCAAGAAGATGAAGAAAAAGCTCTCAAAAGAAAGCAACGAGAACAACTTGAGGAAGAAAGGCAACAGCTAAAACAAATGGAGGAGGAGCATCAAAAGTATCTCCTAGGTAGGATCCTGATCTTATCAATAGAATTGAAGAATAAGGAAGAAAATAAGCTCAAATCTAAAGAAGAACTAAAGAGTATAACTGAGAAAATACTACAAAAGCAGAAAGAAGAGATAGAACTTAAAAAGAAACAGCTCTTACAAAGAGAGAAAGAGGACGAAGAGAGAATAAAAGAAATTCGTCAGAAGAATGCTTTAATCAACGAAAGAATAAAACAAGCTAGGATAGAAAAGATCAAAGCTGTTAGACAAAAGTAAAATCTTTATTTACTCCATAGAGAGAAAGAGCTTAACGTTCCTAAAATAAACTACGAAAAGGAGAAAAAGATTGAAAGAGTCTTGACAGATATTGAGAAAAAGAAGAAACAGAGCTTAAAATAAGTTAGAGATGAAGAACGAATATATTGAGAAGATCCGTAAACAGAATGAAAACTTAATCGAACAAAAATTATCTGAGCTCAAACATAAACAAACTTTAGCTGAAGAGAGAATAAAGAAGAAGCACAAAATTTTTGAAAGAGAAAAGGCTCATCAGAAAGTAAGGATCAAAGTAACCCCTTTAGGCAATCAATGAAGAAAAGGAGAAATATAGGAAGAAAATATATGTTACAATGGAAGAACATTTGGAGCAGAAAAAGAAAGATGTGGTGGACAAGATTGAGACTAAAGAACAAAAGATGAAAGCCCAATTTGATAAGACCCAAAGGCAGAGGAAATTACATGCAGAATTGGTCAAGATTAAGAATGAAGAGAGACTTGAAGAAGCAAGGAGGTTGGAGAAAGCAAAATCATACCAAATATTGAAGAAGAAGGAGGAGATTGAAGAAGAGAACAGAAGGAATGAATTAATCAAAGCTGAAAAGGAAAAGATAGAGGTAAATTTCTTGTAAATTATTCTATAGAACTTGAAAAAGCTGACGTTGAAGAAAGAAAAAGTATAAATTCAATAGTAATTCAGAACATTTTGTATTTTACTGTCACTATTCGTTATTTATGTATGTTATCATAGATTTTAGATCTTATCAATATTTTCATATTGCCAAGGGGTTTTGGGGTTTTGGGGTTTTGGGG